TGCACAAATGAACCAGAAGTTGGGAAATGCTCCTGTCCTCAGAGGTAACTACGTTATTGCTTACTTCCTTTTCTGGTCCCCTACTGTTTTAGCCAGTCGATCTATATGTTCTCTTTTTAAATTCATTAGATGGGTGCAAATTTTGTGATTGAGAAGTAGAAAAGAATGTAGAAGTTAGAAAATTTTCTCTAAGCTAATTCACTTGTTTAGAATGGATACTAAAAGATTATTTTTGATATTGGCTCTAATTTCTTGACAGTAAATTTTTATATGCTTTCTCGGTGAGCTAGGAGGATATGGCGCCTATTATTTGGTAAATTAGATAGGCTAATCTTTTGTGGGAGATCTATACCATAATACAGGATGCAATTGATTTTCTTATGAAAAAAATTTATACTGAAATCTTATTTATTTGAAAGTTTGAGCTGGGAAGAAAGAGATACTTTCACAACCATCACCAGTATACCACATTTTGGGTCATTGTACTAAATTGCTAATGAACTAGACTTGGTAACTATTGATGAGATTTGTGACTTCCCCACAACATCTTTAATTAAGGTGCGAGTTTTATTACAAAAAATTGATATTGTATTTTAACTAGTACTCAGGCTATTGGTTAATTTAGACAAGTTATTAGAATTATACCGGGTTCAGTTCTGGTGGAAGCCCTGTTCCATTATTAAGTGCAAAGTTGCAAGTGGTAACATATCTACTAAAAATTTAGTTGTAATCTTGCATAGTTTCTTTTTGCATAATTTCCATGTATCATTAGAGTGTTTCTATCTTGGGTATGGTTCGCCTTTATAATTTACTCCATCTTAGACATGGTTGTACTGAAACTGAAGAATTTCTTTTTACTCTTCATGTGCTCGAGCTCTATTATAATCACCTTCTCTATAATCTACTGCAAAAAGTCCTTAATAGAAAGAATTGGTACATCATATCTTACATAAAATTGAACTCATTTTCCTTTGCCGGACTTTCCAAAGATATAGAAGCTTGCTAGAAAAATTCTCATGGTAGTCGAAAATCTGTTATGAGATGTGGAGAACATTCTTGATTTTAAGGTTAAAGATGACTTCCGGTAATTCAGAGGGATGAGGGACCCCAAAAGGCTTTTGCTGGTCTCAAGTATTCATGAATGGCAGGATTGGATCAGTTCAACTAGTATCAGGTATCATTATCAATTCTCCATGAGTTTGCTTATGACTGTAGTAAAATCCTGCATTGTCTATCCTATCTGGAAAAACAGCCACAGGTGGGTTGCCTGCAAGATGCTGAATAGTTCTCTTTAATTGTTGCAGTGTTGCATTGCTGATCAAGCTAGCCAGAGGAAAACAAGAGAACAAAAGAAAATTGTCATATCTTGCAAATTAGAATGGAAGAAGCTGTCTGCTCGCGGTCTTATTCGTAAACTTCAATGAATTGCTAGTCTGAATTGCACGTTGAGGAAATCGATCTAGCCTAGAATCCAGATCGATTTTATAAATTTTGTAATGTTGTGGAATCTTTTCATTTGTACCTTTTGGCAAGTTTATTGTCTATTTTGTTTTGTTGTTTGCAAAGCTGCTATTTATTTACTCATTGGCTAGACATTAATCGTTCTATATAAAATGAAGGTTAGACTCAGTTGTTTTAATACTGAGCTAACATTCTGAGACAACCTGGCATTTCCCAAATTGGTATTTTATACTCTCTTCTTCTGTGTGTAAACGGAACATACTCAATTGCAAAAGCTTTTGTTATTCACAAAATATCCTCGTTTGTTTTTTCTGCCTATGGTTCCTTCAAGTATGCCCAAATAGAAGGAAGGAAAGGAGTTGGCCTTACATCGTGCAGTGCATAATGGTAATTTTTTTCTCACAAACTATTATAAAGTGGCCTTGAATCGTCGAATTTTATGGATACATTGTTGGGCTCTCTCAAGGACTGCATCGATCTTTTTTGTATATCCATTAGAGCCAACCTTCCGAATCTTCGGCATAGCCGTTTCATCAGTATCCTCATTGCTCGTCAGCCTGTTTGCCTTTCTCTTTTTGCTGGTTGATGACTCTGTTTCAACGAAAACAACACTCTTTAGCTGGTACAAGAATGTTCATATTTGGAGGATTTTATAAATAAAATTTGTGATGAATGAAACTGGGATTTCATTATATTTCCTTTCTGAAAAATATGTATCAGATTAATTTTTTTGAACATGAACAAAAAGAAAAAAAAATTGAATAACAGTCCTGTAGTTGAGCAAGAAACAGTTCTATCTCTCTCAATAAATGGAGCCCTTTACTTACCACAGATAGTGCAGCAAATCAAATCAGCATAAAAGACTTGAAAATCCATTCATAAAGTCGTCAATCCAAACCTTGTATATGTGAAGGAGAAGGAGAAAAGTACAAACCTTGAGTGAGAGCAGAGGAAGTAGTAGGCAGAGGAGCAGTATTACATGGAGGAGGGAAGTTGTGAGAGTCGAAACTAGAAATGAAAATCTTGAGCTCCGACTTTAAATAGTGAAAGCCATTGGGATGGTTAGTTTCCAAAATTTCCAGTTCCTCTTTTGCTCTTTCTATCACAGTTGACGTTGATAGCCATTCCATTTCGTTGCCCATCCCTCTCTCTTTCTCCTTCTCTTTCTTCTAAACGCTCACAGACCAACAGTTGCCCATGAAAGCGCAAAACCTGGAAAGTTTTTCTCTACATTAAGAAGAATAAAGTTGTAGAGCTTTAATTATAGTGCGTAATCAGCGTACGTGCTTATTTTTCAAAAAGTGATTTTTTTGAAAAATGATTTTTTTGAAGAGTGTGTAGTTGATTTTGGTATAAATTGCTCTCTCTCAAGTCTGAAGCGCAGTAAGTATGAGTTTTGCTTGGGGTACATA